AAATAAATTTTCTAACTTTTAACTAAACTCGCAGAAGGCTAAAAGCAGAGGTTTTGATGTGTCACCGTCCGGAAACATAAATGTCTTTAATACATTGCACTCAATAAATACTTTAAATATTAAACTTTTTTGTTTATTTTTTATCATCTAGCACATTGTTAATGAAAGTTAAAGCCTTAAATTGTAAGTTCATTTTTTCACAAAAAGCTGCCCCAGGTTACTGTACATCAAAACATAGATTTTAAAGGTCAGATAATCCATTTCTCACATCAAATTTAAGATGTAAACAAACTGAATGGAATGCTATATGGTTTTTAGCGCATTTAGCGTCCTATATAAAGGACGCTAAACACGCTAAAAGTGCATTTTTAAATTTATATATATCCAAATAAGGTAAAATATAAACCAGATAACTGATCAAGTAGTTAAGTATAGCTTTATATTTGATTATTAAAGAATAATATTATTTAAGTATTATAGTTATTAAAACAGTTAGTTATTGTAACATTTACCACACTTCCGGGTATACTTCCGGGTATTCTTCCTTGTATAGTAGAAAGATTAGTGGTAGCGGTAGTAGGGTTTTAGGGTTTTGTATAAAATATTTATTAGCTTAAAAGTGTGATATATTAAACATGTATATAGATACATATATAGATTTTTATAACCAAATTGTTTTTAATAGAGTATTTAAAGAGTTTATTTTACCGGTTTTTGCATTTAATCTGGTGGTTTTTTTCATTTAATCTGGTGGTTTTTTTCATTTAATCTGGCGGTTTTTTTCATTTAATCTGGTGGTTTTTTGCATTTTATCTGGCAGTTTGAACTATATTGTCAAATGTTGTCTTCCGCATATATCGGTTTTTGTATTTAATTTGGAGGAAGGTCGTATATTAACTACGACCTTTTATTAACTTTTTTATTCGTTTGTAATTAACATGCGTATGTTATTGGCAATGAATGTTTTTTTTATAATGTTTCAAAGTCAAAAAGTTGGTAAAATATGTGTAAAAAACATGAAAAACATTTAAATACTGGCAATCATAAGCGTAGAGTATGGAGTACAATATGGAGACAGGCTGCCCACTTGAGTCAATCTTGCCCCCGCTTGAAAATTCGTTTGCCCCCTTGAAATTTTATCCAATCTTATAATAAAAATTGTTTTGATTTGCTATTTTTAATCAGAGAAAGAAATCAAGTTTTTGCCGCAAATTTCGACAAACTTGACGAACGAGGAAATCTTTTTTTCCGAAAAAAAATACGTTTTTCGATAAAATAAAACTTTTGATCTCAATTTAATATTTTTTTCACCCTGTACACTAGAGCTTTAAAGTAATTTTTATGATATAGAAAATTTCATGTCACTCGTTCAAAAGTTCTTCACTTTTTTTCAAGAGGCTCACCAAAGAGACTTGGTTTTCAAGCCCAAAAGACCAAAATGAAAGCAAAGATGGACACAAAAATGGAATATCACTTAGACCTTTTTGCCTAACCAGATGGATAATGCGCAAGCCATCTCTTGTATCTATTACCAGTAATTACAGATCACTTCTGGTTTGGCTGGAAGACCTTACCACCAACCCTGACTTTACCAAATGCCGAGTGGAAGTGGAAGCAATGACCTTATTTTTTTGACACCTTTTTTAAATTGGAATTGTTTTGAATCATTTTTACCATCCTAGAAGATTCAAGCATTCAACACTAAATGCAAAATCGACTACATCAAAAACTTCTGCAAGGATAATTTTATCAAAAAACGCAGCTTCACCGGGACCGAGAAGCATTGCCTCGGAAATTGTCCATTTTATTAAAATAATTCTGGTGCAGCCAGTGTCAACTTGTACAGCATTTAGTAAACGATCGTTTAGTAGTCTGCGTAAACTAAAAACTTTTTTTTGATTTACCATGAGCCAGGAAAAGTTGAACGCTGTTTCTTTAATGAATACCAATAAAGAAACTACCTGGAGTCTTGAAATGGATTTTTTGTTAGATATGTTTATTGAAAAAAACGAAACGCGCCATAGAATATTTTATTTGAAAAGTAAAATTAAATCTCTACTTGTTTTACTTTAATTTCTTGATGTTAACCAAAATAGAAATTTGCTGTTTTTTTATTTCTATATCAAAAATAATAAAAACTGGACAGTAGACATACATTGCTCAAAAAAATCAAACCTTTAACTTTTTTCCCCCCTTAAAAACTTGAGTACTCTTCGCCCATGCTAGCAATACATCTGTGACATTTCGCGACGTTAGAATTTCTTGTTCTATCTCCACTTTCTGAAAAAATTGAGTTAATGATAGTGTTGTGTTTCTCAAAATAATGTCTTCCTACTGAATTGAAATCTAAGTTATAAGTAAAAAAGTTGCCGAAAAAACATAAGTTATATAAAAAAATTTATGCTCTGTGACAAGACCGTTAGGTCTTCTTGGGGCACCTAATAACAAAGTTAAGAAATTAATAACAAAAATTAAAAAAATATTACGCAACTATTTTGTACAATCATGGAAGTATAAAACAGATAGCAAACATATCTAACAATCTAAACATATCTAACAAATCTATTTTTAACATATCTAACATATCTAAACATATCTAACAAAGACTGTTTTATACTTCCATGGTACAATTTAAGAAAGTTTTTTTTAAGGAGGGAAGGGGGAGAGGGGGAATTTTACAAAATACATAACGATTTTAAAAATAATATCTATAATTTTCTGAGCTTCTCTGAGTTAATTAATTAGTACTTTTCAGTCTGTTTAATGTTTTTTTCAACCCAATAGTTCAATTATCCAATTAGCCAAATTAACCAATTTATCCAATTATCCAATTAACCCAATAGTAAAATTGTATAAATTAACATCGCTATCCTAAACATGATACCTATTTTAAAAAGCTATTCTTCCAATATATGATACATGGAAAATAATATATAACACATTTTAACACATGACAACAATATTACACATTTAAAAATATTATTTTATAACTAGCAGTAAGCAACCCGTAATACGGGTTGTTAGAAAATAAAATTAAAAAAAAAAACCGCGTTTAAAAAAGCCTAGAAACTACTTTAAAATTGAAAAGCCTAGAAAATGACGTAAGTCGTTATTAACTACTACTATTAAATTAGCGTATTAATATTATCAGAATATAATTTTTGCGCAACTTGCAACGTTAGCGTGGCCGAGTAGATTCTACTTTAGGCTAGTAAACCGAGGGTTCTAGGTTCGCCTCTCGGTATCGATATTATTGTAGTTTTTCTTAGTTAGTGCACAAAGATTATTTTTTTTGTTGCTGCACACTTTTGTGCACCGACTAAATAAAGTTCTGCCCTTGGATCATATAAAGTAAAACCGTAGAAAGTTTAAAAAAACCATAAGTAACAACTTAAATAATCAGTTCTTTTTCTTTTGTCTTTTTTCTTTATTTCTTTTTAAGCTTTTATTTCTTTATGTTTTTCTTTTACTTTCTTTATTTTTATTTCTATATAAAATGTACATTAGTTGATTGATGAAGCTTTAAGGGTAGTAGAATGTACATAAGTTGATCTATACTATAATATAGTAAAGCATCTAACAGGCACTGCTCATAGACTTTTACAGCCGTAACAGTCCGTTAACAGGCTGTAAATACTCCGTTAACGGGCTGTACACATCGACTAGGTAAGATTTAGGCGTATTTGATTTTACAATCAACATGTAGATACATCTACTGAGGGTTTTGTTTAGTCAGATACTCTTTTAATTAAAAGAAAGTCTTCTCTAGATTTAACACTAAAAAAAAAATTATTGCGTCACAAAATTGAGACCCCCTCCCCGTAACAAATCGTAACAAAATTGCCTACCCCGTCCCCCCTTAAGCGTGACGTAATTTGTGGACGACTTCTAATCCTAAACACCAAAAATTCTTAAACAACAAATAAAATAAATATAATTTTATCTATTTTATATTACTGTTTATGCATTTTATATTGTAATGAAATACGTATGAGTTTTAAAAAAAGAAGAAATATTAAAAAATTTATGAATAATAATAAAAGACATCAATGATAATCAATTATAAATGACATCCATGATAAAACGTTAAATCATTTATTTTCTACCTCAACTAACAGGAAAAAAACACATAAGTCAAAAGTTTATTTAGTCAAAAATAAATTTTTTTATAAAAATGATGAGAAATGTTTTTTTTTTTGTCAAACTAAATAAAAAAAATTTATTAAAAAAAAGTTAACTGTGATTATAATAAATAAAAAAAATTTTTAAACTAAGGTTATGTTTAAAAAAATTTACAAAATTTAACGTCGTTCGTAAATTTCGCAACGCTAAATTTTACAACAAAAAAGATCAGAAATTTTCCCTCGCAGAGCCTTAAGTTAAATGAAAAATCAAAATACCACATTAAGTTTAGCGAAAATCGCTGCGTAAAAGATTTCCTACTTGTATTTTTTAAATAAATTAAGCGTTGCACAATTCCTCAGTAGAAAAAAGTGAAACAACAATATTCACCATCGCACAGTGATAGTGAATATTGTTGAATATTGTCGATAAATTAATCTATAAAAGACAAGTAAGATGAATAAATTATATAATCAAGAAAAAAATTCCATATTTTAATAAATCTTTAGTAAAAAAAAGTTTTTTATACCTAGTATATATAAATATTTTATACCTAGATATACCTAGATAAAAATTTTATACCTAGTATATATAAATGTATTTGTTACATGAAATAAATTTTTTGAGATATTTTTTGGAAAGTTCATTATGTTGAATAGTGAGAATATAAAAAATTCGACAAAGTTGCGTTTAATTTTGTAGATAATTAAAAGGTTGAACTTAATCTACGGTATTCAAAAAACTTCTTCGTGAAATAAATTTACTTTAAGTAATCTATTTTTAATTCACTGAATACTTTTTAATTCAGTGAATACGCTTTCTCACGAAAAATTACAATAGTTAAAATCTTTCTTGTTGCTAGACAACTTTAAAAAAAAATTTGTCGCAACGCCTTTCGAATCTCTGAGTTTATTGCAATGGACGAAAAACTTTTTCTGAAACAAGTAGGTTTTCGCACAAAGCTCTTTTTATGTGCTGTAATTATTGTTTTGTTAGGTTTTAATTTTTTTATGGGGATGATTAATATAGTGCTGCATTCAATTAAACCCAACAAATTTTACTGCAAAAATTGTTTTGAAAGTAAGAGTTATAAAACGATTTCCATATTGCTTTTTTCTCGCTATATGGTGTTACCAGGCGAAAAAATCAAAGGCGTAACTGTGGAACAGTTTTTTAACGATAAAAATACTTTACCACTGCAGAAAAAAAAATTACCTCTATATAACGGAACATTTGAAAATAATGGAACTTGGAAATTTTCTCAGTTTGTGAGATTTAATGAAATACAATCTTTGAAGAAAATAATTTCAAATTATGATGTAATTATTTTTCATGTCAAAGATATGCCCGGAAGAAAAATGCTCTTAGAGCTTTCAAAATTTCGACCTGCGCACCAAGTTTGGGCTTATTTCAATAAAGAGTCGGCGTATAATACAATAAACGTTGAACGAAAAAATTTTGACGGTATTTTTAATATGACAATTACAACAAATCGCAACTCGCACGTGTTTGCACCCTACGGGTATTACGAAGAAAAAAAAATATCATCGTCAAATTGGCTAAAACAGTATAAACATCTGATAATTTTTAAAGTAACTGAAAGTTCTGACTTAGCGAACAAAAAAGAACAAGAAAACGAACTGTTAGAAATGGATCTAAGTTTTTTAGAGAAAGACTTGCCAATTGCATGGGTAGTGAGCCATTGCAACACATTTCGAGATTTGTAC